AGGACGGGGCAGGGGGAGGCAGGGTTTCACTATTAAGTCCAGACAGCAATAACTTTTTAATGATGGTACTGCCCACATGCCATGTCAGTTTCTCATCAGAACATAAGCCAAAACTGGGGCATGAAACACAAAGGGAAAAATATGAAATCATATGCTAACCTGATTCTTGGCTGCCCAAATTTTCCCTCATTCCCCAATAAAAAACAGTTATTGAGCATCTCTCAAGTATGCCATTTTAATTTATGGACACTTTTCTATGATAAATGGTAGTTATAAAATGTTTCTGAGGGGTTCACAAGTATTAGCACAAAATAACTGACATGGGCTAATTTAAGTCCACACTGGTTAGCTCCTTAAATATGCCTTAGCCAAACAAAGCCCAGTGCAGCAGTAACTTGTATGTTAAGTAGCAACATATATATTTTACATGTTTCTTCTCTGAAGCTGAATAAAAATAACCAAACCTACCATGGCAATCCCTGCAGCACACAATAGGTATGCCTTTTCCTCATAGTTCAGAATTTTTGTTCATTTTGAGAGAAGTGTTTTCCTGATTCAGCCAGGATATGTGCAGTTTTTTTAATATCATACAAAGCGCTAAAGAATTTGTAATGGGTGAATGAAGTTATCAGTAAATAAATAAATCAAAACAAAGAAATGAATGAATGAATGAAGTTTGGACGAGTGTCAGCGGAACGTGTACATTTTTTAATGACAAATCAGATCTACATTTAAATTTCATTTAAATTGTGTAGGAAAAAATTCTTAACCAGATATTTATGTGTTTGAATAACACCCTACTCAATGGAGAGCCCCTCTGGTAATCCATGAACTGTCTGCCATGTAAGTGAAAGTAGATAAATGTGGTCTTTTTATTGTCCGAATACTGGTTTCCTTTAAGCAATGTATACAATTCCATAGAAGCGGAAAAGTAAAGTTAAGTTTTCAGGGCAACAGAATTGCTGGAATTTAGTGCAAATGCAGGGCTTCAATGGAATTTTACAAAGCAGAAATATCTCCTTGCTTGCAGCCAGTTGCAGGACAGGAACTTCAGACTCTTCAAGGCACCAAATACCTTGTCAAAGCCTAGAAAATAGCTAAAGAAAATAAAATGCACTTGTGGCAATCCTATCACCTTACATTCAGAGGCATGAGACAAAGATGGGCTACCAAGTTCCTTGGTGAGGTTAGAAATACCTTTTCTGTCTTACCATCATGAGTAAGACAGAAATTGCAATACAGCCTTAACAGACCAGAAAGACTATGTAGCAGTTCTGAGTCAAAAAGAGGCAAAAGGAGTTTAGGGCAATTTTAAAGGCGAGTGACTTTAAATGGGTTTTATACATATCCATTTGTAACATCTCTAAGGATTCTACAAGTCTGTGCACCAATACACAAGATTCTTGCCCCACTGAAGTCAATGGCAATACTCCACTGTCCTCAGTAATACTCATGTGAACAAAAGAGATGCAAGATTACATTTTTCTCTTTTCTGTCACCATTCTCTTAATCTGTAAAATGTAAAAGCAGGCTAAATATTGTAGGTATTCACGAAAGTTCTACCATTTCAGTGTGGAGAAAAAAGTGAGTCCAGCTGTCATTACGTATAGTATTTGTTACAACTTTATCCCATCTTTTGGACAGCACATGCTTTTTTGCAATTACATTAATTATTCATAAGTTGTTTGTCAAACCATTTTGAGACAACTTTCAAAGACCAGCCTGCCTACAAACGTCTTGCTCAAAATGGTTCACTATGTCATTTGGTTGATCACACAAGTCACACGGTGCTGTATCCAATCGCTGGTTGGATGACTGCAACATTAAGCAGAATAACGATGAGTACTAAGTGGCTATTAATGAATAGCCCATTTCTAGCTCAGATTTTATGATTGGGGGAAAA